CACCCCAAGGGTGAGGTGCCGGCGGGGTTCAGCGGGCTCCCCGCGCTGCAGGGGGGCACTGGGGGACGCCGCAGCTCCCCTCCAGCCTCTGCGATGCTCTGGATGCCTCCCGCAATTTTGCACCATTTTAGGCAACCCTGCAGCAGCATAAGCAGAGTTTCACAGAATCGCAAGATCATCTCCGTTGGAAAAAACCTTGAAGCTCCTCCAGCCCGACCATGAACCTCACCCTGACCGTTCCCAACTCCACCAGATCCCTCAGCGCTGGCTCAGCCCGACTCTTCAACCCCTCCGGGGATGGAGACTCCCCTCCCCTGCCCTGGGCAGCCCATTCCAACGCCCAACAGCCCCTTCTGCACAGAAATCCTTCCTCAGAGCCAGCCTGACCCTGCCCTGGGCAGCTTGAGGCCATTCCCTCTGGGCCTGGCGCTGGGTCCTTGGCTCAAGAGACTCATCCCCCCTCTTTGCACCCTCCTTTCATGTATTTGTAGAGGGCCAGGAGGTCTCCCCTCAGCCTCCTCTTCTCCAGACTGAACCCCCCCAGTTCCCCCAGCCGCTCCCCAGCAGACCTGTGCTCCAGACCCTGCCCCAGCTCCGTTGCCCTTCTCTGGCTACACTCGAGTCATTCAATGGCCTTTTTGGGGTGAGGGGCCCAAAACTGAACCCACTCAGCGAGGTGCAGCCTCACCAGTTTCCTACAGCCCCAGCTGTAAAGTCGCCACTAAATACTCCTGGAGCCCTGTGCTTGTGCAGGGGTTATACAGGTGCTCCCCCTGAACACCCCGCTAAGGAGGGAAATAAAAGGAGGTGCAGGCAATCCCGAATCAGGGCAGAGTTAATAGGTGATGTAGCAGCTTTTAAAGGCTTCCTAAGGCAGCAATCTGGCTTTGAGAAAAGCAACGAACTGCAAAGTCTCTGCCAGCTCCTGCTTGCTGTGCTCCAGAAGCTCCCCTGTGTAGAGAGTATGATAAGGAGAGTTATTGTTGCACTATGTTCATAAAAAGATTATTGTGAAGGAGGGGAAAAAAGTTATAACTGAAATAAACTGGAACAAGCTTGGTGTTTGAATAGAGAGTAATAATGTTATGATAATTTGCATGCATAGCCTTTACCACTTGAGAACCCTAACACATTTTATAAAGTCTTGTGCTACAAAGAGCAATCCTATAAGCGGATAGCAGTAGAGCTGGCCGAATATAAAAGAGGGGAATCTGTAAAAATGACATTTTATTGTGTAGGAGAAAGCAATGAGAAGCAGAGTTGAAATTTAACCCTTGGTGTCCTTTTGGAGGAGAAAGCTGGCAAAAGATTGTTGCTTGCTTATATGATCTAGTTTGCTATTATGAGTCTTACAGTATTTTTTTGTCCTCTATTTTAGAAGGTTGTATCTAATATCTGTTTGCAAATGAAAAATAAGGAAAAAATCCTGAAGGCCAGAACTTCAGTACTAGATCTTTCCAGAAAAGGTCATGTAGAAGAAGGGGCTGCTGATGGTCCCTGGGCTGTGCTGGAAGAATCAGAGCACAGGGCAAATATGGGAGAAACTGGAGCCCCACCAGCACCACCATTCACTGCCAGTTTTCATTGCTTTTAGTTTGACAACCTGAAATACCTGAACAATGGCAAAGTGTTTTGCAACAGTGGGGTTTCCACAGCTCCTCCACGGTGTAAGTGATAGATCTAGGCCACAGCACGCTGTAACATAAATCAGACCTTTACGAGTCCCCAGCCGCTGCAAATCAATGAGTTCTAGTAATAATTACCCATTTTATCTTTCTCTTTATTAATATTTAGACATTTTTAATCTTTTCTTTGCAAACACAATGTTTCCCTGCTGCGGCTGTCCTTCAGTGGGAGCTGCCGTGAAAGCTTCTGCTTCTCCAATTAAAGACTTTGTCTTGAACCAAGCTGCTGATTGGAAATGACACAACCACGACAGCCAAGTGACAACTCCACCAGTTCACCCTGCGTGGGTGACACCACCCCAGCGCACAGCTGGTGTCCAGACACCATGTACCCAGTCCGGGTACCACAATGCAGGTTTTGCAGTGGATGTCAGGGGTTTCTTAAGCTCTCAGACTGTGCCCTCACCCTTGTCATGGGTGACCACCTGGGTTATCACAACCTACAGCCACCACGGGAAGGTGGTTAGCTCTTCACGTGATGCTTGCTCATTAGCGATGTATAAATTAAAAAATAAACCCTGTGTTGACATGCAAAGGGAGGGGGAGATTCTCGGGGATTCTTCACTGAAATGACAGACCTTATCTCCTCTAACACAGCCATAGGAAAGCTGATAATGTACTATCACCTCTGGAAAACAAAAGGGAAAAATTCAAAACAGAAAACCACCCCCAAAAAAGTAATATAAATTATGTTTATTGTAAAGACCAAAATTTTCCAGCAAGTCCAACCACTACTTAGCTTTAAAGTAAGTAAGTGAGAAAAGAAGCTGGAAATAAGTGAGACAAAGGATGCTGGAACCTCTGCCATGTCAGAAATACCTCCAGTGCCCGGAGGAACAGGTGAAGGATCCTTTTCTTGTCCAACAGTGCACAGAGGGATCCGTGCCAGGGATGCAGCTTAGGATGGACACAGATCTGGCTTTCCTGTTCTGGGATGTGGAGGGGTGAGGCAGGAACTGTGTTTTGACTCCTGGGACTATCCAGCAGAATAAATCCTTGAGGGTGATCCCAGAGGCTGTGCTCCTCCAGTGACTGTCCTCCGAGCCCACGCACTGAAGACCGGCTTTGATATTCAGCTTCCACCAAGTGAGGAGAAACTGAGACCAATTTCTTCTTCAAAGAGGTGGCCAGCATTTCTGGCAGCAGAAAGACTCCCAGGGCTGAGCAGGTCACCACAGCCTGCTCCCACCAGGAGCCTTATGGGGTTGAGGATGATGGTTTACCCCTCCATCTGCTCCCTCTGTGCCACCTCAACAAGCTTGCCCAGGGTGACCGATCCACATCAGCGTCCATCCCAACGGGGCTGGCCACGCCAACCTCACCATCGCTCCCTCCTCAGCTGGGACATCCCCTGCTGCTTCCAGCACTGGGATCACCCAAGTACCCAGGTCCCCGAGCAGAGCTTCTCTTGGCACAGGGACCACAGACAGAGATGGGGACAGTGAAGATGACTGCAGTGAAGATGACCGCAGGTCTCCCCACCCCTGCCATTGTGCATGGGGACGCTGCAGGCTCTGCCCAGATGCATGCATTTCTCCAGTGCCAACACCTTGAGATGTTCAGCCAACCGCAAGGGGTGGCTGATGTGCCATTATGACCTCTCCTGCCTCTGCCATGTCACCTCTCTTCTCTCACCCACCTGCACTGGGGCACTGGACATGTCCTGTGCTGCTGGCTCCACCACTGAAAGACCTACACGGGTTCAGGTGCTGCCTCCTCTCCTCTGCCTGCTTGCAGGACAGGCTGAGCACAGGGCCAGGGCTGGCAGGAGGGAGGACAGCGTTATGGCCCTCCAACGGAGAGAAAGGGGCTGTGACATGGAGGAAAAGGGGCTGGAGGCTTTTCTGTGCCATAGAAATGGCATAATGAGGACACTATGCATGTGGAGACACCTTTAATCTGGAAAGCAATTCCAGATGATGTAACGTCCAGCTCCTGCTAAGGGGTTGAGCATACGCCCAGAGCTCTGCAGCTGGGGCAAGGACCAAGACAGCTCTCCTGGGCACTCCCAGACAGTGTGGGACAGGTAAAACCAGGGCGAGACAAAATAAAAGAAATGCTAATGCTGTCCCACGTAGGCTGACCCAGCCCCAGTGCCTGGGCTGGGGACCCAGCTCTTGCCTGGGGACAGTGGTGCACCTGGGATGGACCTCTGGGGGCTAATGATGGGTCACTGCAGTGACACAACCTTCTACCCAAGCCCACCTGGGAAGAGACACAATCCCAGGGGGCTAAAACCTCCACGTGTGGGAACTGGTGAGTCTCAGGCTAAGCTAACATCCCAGTCACTATCTTTCCAGCGGGATATTGTCCCTGGAGTCCTGCCCAGGTGGCCCACAGCCTTGTCACAGGTATGTGATCTCGATGACATTGGGCTCAGCACTCCCACGGGGAAGCTGATGCTTGCATGAGCACTGGCAGCTCATGCCAGCCGCGTCCACACCACCCAGCTCCCGCAGGCAGGGCTGGGCAGGCAGCTTCTTCTGGGAGCCCAGCTTCTTCCAGTCCATGAGGTGCACCCCATCGTTCAGGTCCTGCGGCATGGGCTCATGGTAAAGGGTGATCTGGACAGTGCGGAGGTGGGGGCCGTAGTGCACCACGACAATGATGAATATGGCCAAGAGGACAAAGATGACAACAATCATGGAGATCGTGGGCAGAGCATCAGATTTCTTTGTCACGCTCCTGACAACAGAGATGGGAGTGAAGGCAGCTGGATCCTGGGGCTCAGGCTGTCTCAGCTGGCTGCCAGGCACAGAGGCGTTCATGGCTGAGCAGGCTGACCTGGGACAGAGAAACACGGGGTGGGAAGGGGTGACCACCAAGCAGAGACTGTCCGATGTCCTTATCTCCTGCCCTTGCGTCAGCAGCTTCTGCCTGCACATGCAGCTGCCGGGGAGTGGGACCATCTCCTAAGTGCTCCCAGCACAGGATGAATTTTGGTGGTTGTAGCTGGGGTTGTAGGGCTGGTGCCCTGGATGCATTCAGCCAGGGAGGTGGTGCCCTGCAGCCCCTTGTCCTGGACACATTCGGCGTGAGGGTCTTCCCACTGCACCTCACTCCCCGGCTGCAGCCAGGGATGGGAACAGGGAGCCCCCGGGGAGGAACCCCTCACCCTCCCCTCTTCAACCCCAGCCCCACGCTGCTAATCCAAATCCAAACCCCACCAGGCCCTCCCTGGGAGACCCAACCCCACCAAAGCACACCACAAGGCACCCCGGGTGGGAGCAGGGGGCAGCGGGGGGACAGCCCTCCCCAGCCCCGCAGGGGTACCTCGGCGTCCCGGCTGCGTGGGAATCATCATCTCCAGCGGCGAGGCTGGGAAGCTCAAGGCAGGACCAGCAGGAAAACCTCCAGGATGGTTCTCCAGTGTAGGAGCAGCCAGAGTTACCTCAGCGGCTGCCACGTCACGCCTCGGCCCCGCACGCCCCGCCGGGACTCCCCGGGGCAGAGGAGGAAGTGCCCGCTCATCCCTCGGGCAGGAGAGGTGCTCCTTCACTTACCCCGTGCCACATCAGCGCCACCGCCCCCTCCCTCGCTATCACGCACCCTCGCTGGAAAAAACCCTCCTCTCGCCCGCTGCAAGACAAGCGCCCTTTTGTCTGGGGGAAAAGGACCTACCACCCTTTCGACGGCACTCACGCAGCCTCCGGATGCCTAACTGCAGGAAACCTCCCTCCTTCCACTGACTCGCTGTTAAAATTTAATGCGGTTAAGAAACGGGTGTTAAAAATCACCCTTCTGCATGGGAACTCTTTGCACAGCCCAGCAAAGTGCACCCACACAAGGCTGCGGGCTGGAAGGACCCTTGTCCCAAGAGGTGATGCAGCGCCAGTGCTGATTTTCTCTGCAGGGGGGTCCCACTGCTGCAGAAGGACCATCTGCCAGCACTGCTGTGGCCAGCAGCGGTGTGAGCCCACGGCAAAGCTCTGGACCCTGGGCCAGGTCAGTGCTCGCACAGGTCCCCTCTCGCACAGGGATGCTCTCAAGTCCGGCAGCATTCACCCCTGCCCCTGGTCTGGGGATGCCGTGTGGTCAGACCCTTTGCCACGGACTGACCCTGTGCACACCTCAGAGCAGAAAAGGTGGATCCTCTGGAGTTTTAGCCATTACAAAACATGTCTCCCCATCTTTCTGTCCAAAAAACCTACTGCTCTTACCTGGAGGTTCTCAGCAGACAAGCTGGGGTGTGCATTTGGGCTCCGTCTTTCCTGCACATGGGGAGGACGGGGTGGGAAATGCCTCTTCCCCCATCCAGCTGAACCCAAAGAGATCTGGTTGCTTCTGGGAATTTGCACTCATTTCAGGATTCAGTAAAACCTTAATCTATAAGCGTAATCTCTGAGCATGACATCTGTGCGATAGAGAGAAAAAATGATGGGGGAGGCTGCTAACAGAGGCTTTGTGAAAGCAAAGGCGGCTGTGGGATGCTGGCTGCTTTGGGCCTGGTGGTTTGCTGGGCTTTTTGGAGGCGATTGGAGAGACCCGCTGAAATGCAAGGAGCTGTGCAGCGCACAGGACATCGCTCCCTCCGTTCCTGCTGCCGTCTCCTGAAAGCAAGCACCTTGCCAGCAGCCTAAGACACCCCCTGGATGTGCTCCATGCAGAGATGGAGCAGCCCCATTGCCCTTGGTCATGGCTCTGCAGCTTTCCAGGGGGCTGTGGGAGGGGGCTGGACCAGGCCACCGAGCCAGGAGACACAATCCTGTAGATATCCATCCTGAATACCCACACAGACCCTCCGAGACAGAGGGACACAGCAGCTGTTCCCATGTGGGGACACTAAGACCCTTCTCCTCCCACTAAACACCCATTCACATCCAACACGGGGCAATTTGTTACCTCTGAAGTTCAAACTATGACAGCAGAGGACAGAGAGACAGGCAGACAGGATGTGCATAGACAAGTCCATCACAAGGTCAGGGCCAAGAAACAAAATGCCCCAAACCCCTTGGGCTGGGTTGCGGGCAGAACCAGCCCAATTTTCCAGTCCCTCCCCTTGTCAAGGAACTGGGGTCAGGGTAAGTCAAAGGCTGCTGTGTGCTGTTTGTCCTGTGAAGAAGGATGCTGCTGTTACCTGAAAACCAGCACCCCAAAGCCAGCATCCCAAACCCAGCACCTCCGGGTGCCCAGACTTGCTGGAACTGCACAGGGAGGCGCAGGGCATGGGGCAGCACCAGCTGCTGAGTTAACCCAGCCCTACAAGGAGTAAATATTTCCAAATCACTTCTGGAGATGTTAAGAAATCCTCTCTCAGTTGGGAGGGGAGGACCGGCTCCTCCGGTAGCTCCTGGCCCAGGAAGGACCAGTGCAGCCTGCAGCCCTCACGGCTGATGCAGAGCAGATTGGGTCTGGGATGAGCATCCTCACCACAGACAAAGCACCTCCCAAAACAACCAAGCACCATCAAGCAGCTACTGAGGCCCAAAGCAGGGCAGGCCCACTGTGATTCTGCTCTCCCCCGCTGTGAGAGCCGAATACCCCAACAAATTGATGGCGAGGTTTCCTTTGCCGTCGGTAAGCGATGTCTCACATCCTCTCCAGCCATAATGGGCTAAAAAACAAAGTTCCCCTGTGGATTCAGCCCGTTTCCTTCTATTCTTTAACAGGAAGCTCTGTGAGAGTCAGCCCAGGCAGGCAAATCGCTCCTCACCCTCCTGTCCCTCTCGGGATGGACAGAGCCTCAGTGGGGCTGCAGAGCCACAAGCCACCGAGAAGATGCTGGCTCTGTCCGTCCATCCACTCCTCTGGCTGTTGGGCTGCGCGCTGTGCCAAGGTGAGATGCTCTGCTCACACCCTGGGGAGGGTGAAGCGGTGCTGGGTGGGGGGATTTGGGGAGTCCAGCTTCATCGGGGGCACCAAAGGGAACCAGCCAGACATTCGAACCTGTAGGAGCTGCCATCAGAAAGCTCAGTCTAAAAATTCAGGGGTGGCAGGAGTCAGGTTGCTGGGAAAAATGTGGTCATACCAGGTTTACAGGGTTTATTTGATGGCACTGGAATAAAAGGATTTGTTTCCTGGTCAACAGAAGGAGTGTTTCTGCTGAGAGTTGCGATGCTGAGGGATTTTGCAGTGACTTTTGTCAAATAAGCATAAAGATAAAACATTTAAATGTACAGGACATTATTTTCCTTAAAGGTGTTTTTTCTTTGGCTGATTTTAATTTTTCCTCTCATTGACACCAATAGAAAGACCATGTGCAAGACTCATGCAGAACATGCCTCATACTTATTGTAATAATTCTGCTCCTTTCTGATAATTCTGCTTTAACTTCATCCCACATGAGTCACAGTGTGGGACGAAGGAACTGGTTTCCTGCTCTAAAGGGTGACAGGTTGTTTTTTCCTACATCATCAAGCACTTCTTGTGTTGCTGACAGCTGTAGTAGCTAGGACCTGAAAAGCATTCAAAGGAATATAGAAACAACATCATTGCTGCTTCTAATAGACAACACCTTAAAATAAATGTCTCCAGCCCAAAGTTTTTAGCATTAAGCCATAGAAGTTACCTATGTGTTACAGCCACTGTGCTGGCAATAATGAGATTTTTAAAAGGCAGAGAATATAGAAACCAATTCAGTTAATAGCTGTGAAATTCTGAGAACACACAGATTGGAAAACTCCTCTCTTCATTAGGGGCGATACTGCTGGCTTCAGCAGAGGGGTGAACTGTGCCTGGTATCAGACCAAAGGCTTTGAGACCCCTTGGTCATACTGTGATGCTCCCTAACGCCTGCCCAGAATGTTTTTGTTCCTCTTAAAACTACTTGGCATGGTTTTCACGGGTCCCGAGCACACCACTTCATCCTCTGCAGGCTGCTCCAAACAGTAGGGCAGGGCCCGCTCCCACGAGATGCGCACCTGTGGGCAGTGATAACGGTGCTGCTGATGCGCAGGGCGCATCCGCTGCTGCACTCGTGCCCCTCCAGCTTCCATCAAAACCCCCGGCCTTCCCCCTTGTCATCTATGCAGCTTCACTCTTCCGCATTTATCCAACAGTCTTGAAATGGCTTTTTTAATTTCATAACAAAGTCACTGAGATGGGGTAGTACTCAGGGGGAGAAAGTTTCTGCTCAGGTTTAGCCAAAGGGGCAGGGATGGGGCCAGTGATGCCGCTGGTTTCCCGACACACAGGCAGTTGGAGAAGGAAATTACGGGGCTCTTGAACAAGACAGAAAAGCTCAGAGGTCTCCCTGCACCTGAGGGATAGAGGTAACCCTGCAGGAGAGGCAGAATTTGCGTTGGCTGGGAACTAATACCTGCCTGTTTCCACACAGGCCTTTGTCTTTTTTTCTCTTTATTGTGTGCAAGTTTATTAATTTATTAAGGAATTCATTGTTTCTTAATTTAAACCTCTAAGGTCACACATTTATTTCTAAAGGGAGGTTCAAATACTGTTATTTTGAAATTGCTGAAGTGGGAAGGTTGGAATATTTCCTCCCCCAGAAACACTTAACAGAAAATTTGTCCAAACAAACCTCTTCCTATGAACCATTTCCATTACAATGGGCAGCCATTTTCCAGACAAAAGATTTCCACTGAAAAATTTCTCACTGAAGCTGATGAGAACCCAGCAGGATTTTCCCACTGTTGCTCCATCCACTGGTCTCCTTATCTGTGCCACTGCCAGTGGATGGATAATGCCATGAGAAGCATGGCATATCAAAAACATTTTTATATGTTGATATATATTTTTGATACAACCAAAATCATGGGGTGCAGCTAGAGGACAGACATTCAGCTACCAGAACACCTTCCAGATACAGTACTTGCATCCTTAAACCAGGGCATCCAGTGCCTCCGAAAGCCCTAAAGAAGAGGCCAGCACAACCCTGACGATGAACAAGGAAGAGAAAGCAGGAGGTGGTTAGGAGAAATGTTTGTTCACAAAACAAACTGCTCCCTTCTAGTAACACGAAACCCTGCAGATCACTCTGCAATTCTGACCGAAGTGGCTGGAGATGGTTTCCAGGAATTATGTCCCATTTACAATAGGTGAGTCAACAACAGGTGTCCTTGGAGGGGACGGTGCTGATAACCCAACACCGGGAACGCTCCTGCTGGGAAAGCCAAGGCTGGGCTTAAGCCTCAGGCTGGAAAAGGGAGATCTGTGCCTTACAAAAAACATCACTGCCAAGCCTTGGCTAGCAGGTCTTGTTACCTCCCTGCCCAGAGGAGCCCTCCCCTCTCAGCATGACACAGCCTCAACGAGGAGGAACTGCCCATTCGGAGTTTCTTTGTAGATTAATGGGCTGGGGGGGCCTGGTTTTACCTTTCAGCTGAATCATCACAGCACAGCAGAAAGAAGCAAAGTCCTTCTAGTATCTCTGGCTGCAGGGGTGTTTGAAGATATAAAAGTATTAAGGAAGCTTTGCCCCTAATGCTGGTAGCTGGTGAAATTTTGTACAAACCTGGTAAAACACCAGGGATGCAGTTAAATGGTGCTGTCTTACTAGCAGTTGGATTTCACAGGTTAGGAAGAATCTTCATACCTCTTGGTGGTGAGAAACCACTGGCTTGGGACCCAGTTCCCTAAGGCCAAGGTTGCTGATCCAGGACACAGTGACAGGACAGGGATGCTGCAGTACAGGAGCAAAGCTAATGGCTTGCCACTCTGGGGGGCAGAGGGAGCTCAGGTGGAGCTCTTTGTTGCAGCAGTGTGGAAGAGGGGGCTGTGGAGGTGTGGAGCATGTCCACTCACCCTCTGGAGTGAGCTGGGCAAACCTTTCTGGCACTGGGGACAGCCCCTGGGGACAGGCATCACCAGTTCTTGGCAAAGGAGGAAACCCAAGGTGGGTCTCCCCTACCTTTCCCACCACCATCAGGCACAATCACAGCCCCTGCAGGCTCCCGAGGGCAGCACAGCCCTTGGTAAGCAGCTCCAGACATACAATTCAATAAGCTCCTCTCATGCGTTAGCTAGAAGTGACTGGAGTAGATAAAAATCCTGGAGTCACACTGGGATTAGTGGATTAGAAATGAGGGAGAAGCACATCACAGCTGACAATGCATCGGGTGAGGACACAGGGCCACTGGGCTTTGTGTCTGCCACTTATCACAGCCACATAACACTCCTGTGCCTTGTTTTCCCCAGATATGAAATAGGGATAATAGAAGTATCTCTTCCATAAAGTGCTTTGAAAACTGGGAATAAAACCTAAGTGACATCACCAGGGTCACGCACCTGAAATCTGGACTCAGAATGAAGCTTGTCAGGCCAAGATGCTTTACCTGCTCTTTGGCTGCTGCTTCTGCAAGACTCAGCACTTCAGGCAACAGCGGCACGGTGCCTCCCCAGCACTGGTGCTCTGAAATGACTGCAACCAGGCAGGGACATCCTTCAGCTGCTCCCCTGGGGTTCAAGCCAGAAAAGAAAGTGGAAAGAATAGGAATTATAACAAATTCCTTTGGCACCAGCCCCTTACACACCTTGTCTCCTGGGTCACTAGGCGGGAGCTGAACCAATCCCAAGCAGATCACATTCCTGCAGGGTGGTTCACAAACACTGCACAGCCTGGCTGGTACCAGCAACACTCAGATAAAATATGGGAATTCTTGGAATTACTGGAAAATACTGGAATTCTTGGAATTACTGGAAAGAATAATAAATTCATGAATAAGCTTGAAAATGGTAGTAAAGAGCCTCCATGAACTTGGGGGAAGCAAGTTGTATCTGGAAGGCACTTACCGCTGAGCCCCAACGTTGGCTGTGGTGCCGCAGGGGATGGCAACGCTGTCACAGGGCGCCTGCCCCGAGGTGCAGCGTACAGGCGAATATAGCAGCTGGAGCACACAGCACTGGGCATAAAATCATACAAACTGATGAGGACCGCCTGCAAGGTGGCCTGTAGAACGGTAGGACCTTGGCTGGTTGCTTCACCAAGGTGTGAAAGAGGCACTGCTGAACTAGCCTGCAACTCCTGACACTTCCTCTGCGCCTCAGTTTCCCCATCTACAGAAAACAAAGCATAGCTAACACTACCCCTCAAAGTGCTTTGTGATCTGCTGATGAATAATAATATTTTTTAAAACCTGTAGGCAGGCAAAAAAAGCACACATTGGGCTCCACCTCCTATTAAGCCTGGATAGGCGGTCCCCCATCTTTCATTTGAACTGGGCATGGAGTGATTTCCTTCTCCAAAACCCCAGACCCAGCGTCAAACCCTAGGAGCAGCACAGCCAGAAGGGCAGGACCCACGTCACCAGCACTGCAGAGACAAGGAGCAAACACAGAGCTCTAAAACAAGCAGGTTGCAGAGGAAACTGGAACCAGTAAGCAGCTGGAAGTGTGACAGCACAACAGCCTGATGGGTGTTTACTCCCCAAACACCATGGAGCAGTGGTGGTGCAGCCAGGAGAAAAGCCATACTGCTTTCCTCTTACAGAAGCAACCACTTTTTGTGGAAAAAACAGACCTCAGCACGCACAGTGATGGGGCAGAGCCCACTCCGTGCAGTACGGTTTCCCCACACTGTTTGTCTCCCAGCTTGTTTTCTACATTCAAGTGGTTTTAAACTGATTTCCGCTAAGATCTGCTTCCAGAACAGCTCACCAGAGAGGAGCACAGAGCGTGATGCTCAGAGAGGATGCCCAGGCCTGAGTGCAGCCTTTGAGGAGGGGCAGAGGAAGACTAAGATTAATTTTAATCACTGACAAGATCCGGGTTTAATTCCCGGCTCTCTAAACTTTCCATAACACTTTGGCCAAGTCATTACAATTCAGAACCACTTGGCCATGAGCTGCCAACCCCCCCATGTCATCTGGGAGTTAGAGGCTT